GTGACTGTTCAGAATTGCGCTGAATGAGTGGTGCTTATGATCAGTCCTTGAGTTCTGGCCATCACAGTGCCCCGCGGTCATGTGATTGTGATTTGGGCTCTTGGCAACTAGCTTGCACTTACGATGGTTGCAGTGTTCTGCAGTCACATGATTACCATTTGTGACTTTCCCTGGTGGCTTCCCACAAGCAAAGTCAATGGGGAAGCAGGCAGGGAAGATCGCAAGTCGCTCTGTAATGCCCCCTCCCTGGCCTTCCTGCCCACTGACCTGTATCCTCCTTCCCTTGGCCTTCCTGCACTTGCGCCATATCACCGCACTCCCCCCAACTCATGTGCGGCTTGTACGGGGCCTCCCAGGGTCTCCCTCCCCCCCCACGGCATCCCTGCGCTCCTTATCTGGGACTCCAGCAGCTTCCTGCTTAATGATCCGTGCGTCTTGGGGTTATGATGGCAGCCGGGACTGCCTGGATTGCCATCACTTAGTGGTGAGGTCACGTGATATGCTTTACAACTGCATTGATTAGCGACGGCAGTCCAGGCAGTCCCGGTTGCCGTCATAACCCGAGGACTACCTGTACTCAGAGAACAAGGAATCAGGGTCTTGCCACAAGTGCAAGCTTGTAGTGATCCTTGAAGAAAAATCAAAAGTTGTTGATACAGTGATTTTTTTTACCCTTTTTTCCACACAATCTTGCAACTCATGAATAATTGCTTGTTTATTATGCTATTGTTCTGAACATGTTTTTCTTCTGTGAATCATATGTATATTAGTATTGATTAATATACGTTAGAATGACTATGCAAATATAAATTTAGCATGCCTGTAGCTATGTATGAACACAGGTAAGGAAAGTGGTCGGAGGCTGAGTATCTGAGCCATAATACTAATAAGTAATTTTGTTTGTTTATTAAACTTGTCCCTGCCCATCTCCCCCCAATGGGGGACTCTGGGCGGCTTACAAGATATTAAAACAATAAATATACAGTTAAAATTTAAAATTTATAAAAAAAATTATGTATTTTAAAATATTTTTTGGCCTTCGAGTCAGTTTTGGCTCTTGGTGACTACCTGAACAAATCTCTGCAGATTTCTTGGCAACATTTTTTAGAAGCAGTTTGCCCTTGCCTTCTTCCTAGGGCTGAGAGACCCCAAGTCACCCAGCTGGCATTGTGTCTAAGGGAGGCAGGACTAGACCTCACGGTACAAGTAGTTTCTAATCTACTGCCCTTTAAGCACTGCACCAAACTGGCTCTCACTAGGCAGTAATATTAACTAATAGTGTAAAAATTGGGGGGAAAAGGAGGTTTGGACTGATAGTCACCAGCAGATCACATGGTGACTTGGCCTTGTAGTGAGTTCCAAAGGAATCACGGTCTTCCGGGAGTGAGAAGACATCTAAACATGTAAACATGGAGTTATTGTGCTGTTCTTCAAATGGGGAACAGATGCTGCCCCCAACTGGAAAAAAAGAAAGAAAATACTGTACAGTATATTCACTCACATAGTAGCATTATCTGAGAGCCAGTTTGGTGCAACGGTTAAAGGCACGGGGCTAGGAATCAGGATTTTTTAAGTCCTGCCTTAGGCATTGGGTGACTTTGGGCCAGTCTCTCTCTCTCAGCTGTAGGAAGAAGGTAATAGCAAGCCAGTTCTGAAAACGTTGCCAAGAAATCTGCACGGGATTGTCTGTGCAGTCGCCACAAGAGCGCGCTGACTTGAAGGCCCAAAGGGGAAAGAAAAGCATTATCTGGGTTCCAAATTGATCCATTCTGGGGGTTTATACAAGGCACAAGCACTAACCCAACAGTCTGGGCTCGCATAGCACAAGAAACCAACCAGGACACGGGCATCCTGATTTTCCTCCCTATGATCTCAGATGCCCACACTCCAGCACTCTGGGAAGTGGCAGTGGTGGGAATGGCTGCCTGGCATTTGCTGCACAAAGGCATCTGTGGGAAGTCTAAGCCCTCGCTTTGAAGCCCATTGTTCCTGGGTGGCCGGGCAGCAGCAGACCTGCTGGAAGCATCCTTGAGCACAACTGGTTCCAGGAAGGACAACCAGACTGTAGTAAACCTTCTCCCCTTACAACACAAACTTCTGGGGCCTCAAAAAGGCTGCGAGTGGCCTCAGTTGCTGACCTGGATCTTACACAGCCCTTGGTTTTCCATGTTGCCAGTGGCGCTCAAACCAGGGAGAGAGCTGGGGCACTGCTGGGGGGTGGATGAGTGAGGCGGAGCTGCGTCTTCTCATCTTGCAGTGCCTCTTCGTCTTCAAGCTGCAGCAGAGATTGATTAAACCTGACTCTAGGAGTTCTGGGTGTCCAAACACAGTGGCTCCACCTCCATTATTAGCCACTGGTGATCCCTCTTTCCCGCAAGGAAGAAATGTGATAGAATTGCACAGAGAAGACAGCAGGGAGGAGAACTAAATGATCTGAAACCAGATTTAAGAAAGTCCTCTGATGCACATTTGGGTTGCCTTTGAAACTGGAATCAATTGCAAAACCTCAACGCTCCTCCCTTCGAGAATCCAGGAGTGTCCCTACAACTCCTTGCTGGCCCTCCTGCAAGGACAGCTGAGGCTGCTTTGGGCTGCCTGGGTGGGACAGGGCACAGACAGCCGATGCAGAAGTGCGCTTGGAAGAGTTTCAGAGGCTGCTCATGCAATGCCCTCTCATTGCTAGATGGCTGGCACAGAACATCTGTGGCTTAGGATTGGTTTACCAGAGGATATGATCCTGCTTGGGTGTGAAGATCATCACTGGAAACACTCCTCTGGCTGCTCACATGGAGGTGAGGGGGTGGGGGTGGGAGCAGTTTGTACCAGAAACGGAGCCGCCTTGGCCGTCCTGTGGAAAATACATGCCTACTGCTTAAGATCTTCTTTCAGAATATATTGGATCTTTATCACTACTAAAGTTTACAGCTTGCTTTTAAAATTATTTTTAACTGTGTGTGTTATTCCTTCTCTTTACTTTTGCTTGATAGCTCTAAGAGCATTTGCCATTTGGAAAGCATGTTAAATAACTAAACAAGCAAAAAATGAAAGAGCCTTCTTGGAGGTCTGAAAAATGGAGAAACAATGTTTTTGGATTTCCATTTCTCAGTAATGCACTGTGATCGTAGATTTGGGGAAGAACAGCCAAAATGACCCACCTACTACCCAGCATAGGGTTAGGGTTAGAGTTAGGGTTGAAAAAATGATTGATTGATTGATTGACTGATTATGTGCCATCAAGTCATGGTCAGCTCTGAGTGACCACATAGACAGATTTTCTCCATGATGATCTTTCCCTAAACTGGTCTTTCAGCGAAGCACCCATTGCCACTGTATCTGAATCTATCCATCTTGCTGCTGGTTGTCCTCTTCTCTTTCCTTCTACCTTTCCCAGCATTAGAGCCTTCTCCAGAGAGCTGGGTCTTCACATAATGTGTCCCAAGAAGGATAACATGAGCCTGGTCATTTGTGCCTCGAGTGGGTTGATTTGTTCAGGATCCATCAGTTTGTTTTCTTGGCTGTCCACAGTATTCTCAACAGTCTTCTCCAAAATCTAAGTTCAAAACATCAAAGTTGAAGCATCAATACTCTTCATATCCTGCTTCTTCAAAGTCCAGCTTTTGCTACCATACAGTGTTACATGGAATCCCATGGCTTGCACAGTTCTGATCTTTGTAGGTATAGAAACATCACAGCAACTCAATATCAAGGCCTTCATGGCTGCTCTATCAAGTGCCAGTCTATGGTGCATTTCTTGACTGTTTGTTTCTTTACTGTTGATGGTTGATCCTAAAAGGCAGAAGCTATCCGCCACTTCGATATCTTCATTGTCAGTTCTAAGGCTGGTTGTTCTACTTGTTGTCATTAGTTTGGTCGTCTTTATATATAATTTTAGCAGAAAAAGTAGTTCTGTTAAAAGCTGATACAAATATTTTAAATTGGAGTTGCTGAAGAAAATTGATTGACTTGAAGATGGGGGCAGACAAGAGGTTTGTGGAGTATAAATGCAATTTGGGGTTTCCTCGAAATGTGGTGCAGCCAAGACTTGGTGCTTCCTTTATGCTTCTGACAATGGGGTCAGAGCACATTGGGTGAAATCAGATTTTCTTCCCTGGAAGCCACAACAGAAGCAGGATGAATGCATCAACTGAGCTTCATGTTGACAAATCTTCCAGATCATTTTGCTCACAAAAGCAGTCCATTCCATTACATAAGGCAGGCACCACTGCATATTTTAAAATGAGTTGTTTCTAGGTAGCTTGGGGTATTATCTCAGTCCCAGGTGTTTTCAAGAAATCTGTGAACATCCAAGTTAGACCAGTCCAAGTGGGAGAAGGGATTTGAATAGATTTTAGTACTGACAGCTTAATGGAACTTCCTTGTGCTTACCTCTGGATTTCCACCGCTGGAAACAAAGGACTGCCAAGGGCTCGCTCTTTCACGTTCCGCATGTTGTTAACTATGGCAGTGAAAGGAGTCTCCATATTAACATGCAGTGTGCCTTTCAGGAATCAGTTTCAGGTGGCCGCTGCTTCTTCTCTTGTTTTGTGGGCCTCCTAGAGACGATACCCCAACTGTTGTTAGAAACAAAATGCTGTATCTCTTTTGGCCCCAAGGGCATTTCTGATGCCCTGCTCTCATGACATTTACTATTCATTATTGCACAGAAACGTAATTCATGGAGGAAGAGAAATCTGTTATAGGCTATTAGCAACTACGGGTACTTAGAGCACCTAGAACCAGTGGCAGTGCACCTCTGAGGGCCAGGTGCTGGGGGCTGCTGTCTTCACTTGTGGGGATCTGGCTGGCCGTGGCTGGAAAGGAATTAGTTGGGCTTCCAGTCTCATCCAGTAACAGGTTTCCCCAGGTTGTCTAGCCAGAGCTAGAGACCAGATGCTCGGTTCAGAAGAGCTTCGTGCTGTTGCATAGATGCAGAAACAGAGCCATTGCGTCCTCTCCTAAACATCCCCTAAGGCCTCCCTCTGCTCTCCCTTCCCTTTCAGACCAACATCCCTTTCCTGCAGAATGTGCTCGGCAATAATCAGTTTCTCCATGGCACTGTGGACACCCAGTTCATTGATGAAAACCCAGATCTTTTCCATCTGCGGCCTGGCCAGAACAGAGCTCAGAAGCTGCTCCACTACCTGGGTAGGTTTAGAATCCTGGAGTTGGAAAGGGCACTGAACTGTACCTCCCCCCCCCCCCCTCAATGAACAAACCCGAATTAGAGCATCCATGAGCAATGGCTGCCTCTTCTCTGCCTGGACGCATTCAGTGAAGGGGACCCTCCATCACTGCTGTTACCGTTAAGGATTTTTCCTAGTGTTTAACCAGAACCTGCTTTCCTGTAACTGAAATCCATTGTTCCATGCCCTGCCCCTGGAATGGCAGAGGTCATAGCTTGGCTCGCTTCTGTGCTCCCTCCCTTCAGGTTTGCCGATGAGTCCATCTGGGGTCTTGATTGTGGCAGGGATGGAAAAGGAAGCCAAATGAGCTTGAATCATCTCAGGATTACTTCTTAGAAATGGAGGTGCAGAAACAAGCTAAGAGTCTGGAAAAACCCTTTTTTCATTCTGCGAGTGGCAAGCTGGTGCCGCGGGCAGTCCTGCCCTTGATGACGAGGTCGCCTCCGTTAACGGCTCTGTCTCCTTTCTAGGACACGTCATGGTGAACGGCCCCACCACGCCCATCCCTGTGAATGCCCGGCCTTCGCCCATCGACCCTGTGGTCCCTCCGATTCCTTTAGGTGAGTCGGTCGCTGAAGCACCCCTGATCTCCAGAAGAACTGAGGCAGCCTCCCACGAGCTCCCACTGGCCGTCTGGCTGCAGCAAAGGGAAGTGTGGCTCAGCTTAATGTTGCTCCTTGGCTGCTGTTGCCGTGGTTAGGGCTGGACCTCAGAAAGCCTCTCCGGTCCTGAGTTCCCTCTTGCCAGGATCCTCTGAAGGACCATTTACTTGGTTAATTGCTTGGTTACTTGCTGGGGCTCATAAACTACCCAAGTCTCAGGCGACCCTGAGCAGCCTACATTCCAATGTACGCTAATAGGTGAAAAACAGAATTTGCTCACAGCAGCAATCCCAAACCACCAGCAGTAATTTTTTTTGATTGATTTGATTTGATTTGTACAGCCACCCATCTTACCTAAGTGACTCTGGGTGGCTGACAACATTGAGAAAACAACAGCCAAATAGAAGCAGGTTAAAACAGAGATGTAAGCATATAAAAACCATCAATAAAACCACATTAAAATGAAATAATAGACATTCATTCTCCTGGACAGAGCAAAAACCACATCATTCCCCAAAGGGCCTCTGGAACAGTCAAGCCTTAGTGGCCTTTGGGATGCCCCAGTCTCTGGGGAAGGGGTAACCGAGGCTCCGGTTCGCCTTTGCTCTCCTGGATTCCCATCAGCATCATCAATAGAAGGCTGGAAAAGCTGCTGTTGTTGGGGGAATGGAAGGAAAGATAGGAAAGGGAATTACCTGGAGTGACCTAAATGAAAAAGTAGCTAGCTGTAACCCTCCCTCCCTCCCTCCCTCCTAAGAGAAAGGTGCCATTTTGCCCCATGCCACCTACTCTTTGACATCCAGAGTTCTCTGGCTTTGCTCAGACCCTCCAGAGGAAGAAAAGATTTATGCTCCACATGCTCAGGGATTAGTGGCTGTATTGTGGAAGCCGAGAATGTTGATGAATCCCTGGGGACTGCTATTTCCCTGAATCCTAGAGTCCTAAAGTCTCGTCTTCTCTGGCTGAGCTTTTGTGTATCTTCTCCAGGATAGGCTTATTCGATAGGAAACGATGCTTCTGCACTTTTACAAGAAACACACTTCTTTTCATTTTACTTCGTTTACTTTGGCTTAGCTTTCTTTTATCTCTTCCTCCTGCGATCTCTGTTTAATCACAGCAAAAGTCATCTTACCACCTACGATCTCCACAGCCCCATTACCAAGGAGAATCCAGTCCTGCATTTCCCTCTCATAAAACGTAGTTGGTTGCTTCGGGGGGGGGGGGGGGAGAGCACCATAGCCCGTTCTAGGCGGGGCATCGCCATTCAGGGCTGGCCCCCAACAAATCCCCCTCAGCTGCCACGTGGCTGTCCATCCAACCATCCTCTCCTATGCCCTCCCACCAGGGTCACTGGCAAAAGTTAGAGGACCAACTGCCGTCAGGCTGAAGGGACCAAGCCTGGGTGTTGGTCAGGCATCCTTGGTGACGGTCCCCAGGCAGAGCAGTGCATGAAGGCAGGCCTGCTGCTGCTCAGAAGGTGTAACGGCCAGACGCTGGGTGGCTCTTGGGCCTTCGGAGTCTCAGGCCTCTGCTGACTCTTCCCACCCTAATGGGTAAATCCCAGCCAAGGGTATCCCCCAACACAGTAGGAAAGGGGAAGATTGGGCTCACGGTGAAATCCCTGGTTCTCTGCTGGCTAGAGAGTATCTGCACCCTGTTTCCTCTGTCTCTCTCCCAGTCTGGCCTTTTCCTGCAAGAAATAGGATCCAAGCAAATGTTCATACCTGTTAAATATACCTGTTAAATAAGTATGGAGCCCCTATGGAAATGAGGGATGCAGGGAGCAGAGTTATAATACAGCTACGTAATTGGCAGACCAGTGAGGCTCATTTTAATTATATTTGATTCCAGCTTTGTATTACAATAGTTTATTTTCTTTGCTAGTGGCTAATCCCCAACCTAAGACAAGTATTAAGAGAATTAAATAAAAAGGTATAAATCTTATTAACAGGTCTCCAAGGTGATGTTTAATTCTGTGGTAGTTTTTTTAAGGAGGCATGAGACCTGAGAAGAGCCAGCAATCTTTGCTTCCTGAAGGTGAAGGAATAGAAGACTTTTTTGGGAGTTACAAATACAAAACTCTCAACAGTTGATAGTTTAATTATAGATACGACAGAATAATTTCCAAGGCTTATCAACTGTTTTTTTCATTGTCTATCTTCTTTTTTCCCTGTTTCTGGGTTTTTTTTTACTATCCTTCCCCCGCCCCTTCCTTAAGCAAATAATGTTTTTGAAAAGGAAACTTCATCCTAGATGGTTTTTCAACTTCCCGGTGGTAGTCTACCATCCGAGTACCAGACAGATCTGACTCGCCTTAGCACCTTCTCAGTCAGCCGGTCAGCTCTGTGGTGCCCCCTGGTGCGGATGCTCAAAAGAAGTAGATGCAGCAGAAAAGGAGGAGGAGAGTCATTGCGTGTGAAAGTCTGGATTCCAAGAAGTGGAGGAACAGTGAAAATACTATTGCCCATCCAACCGAGGACCAAATATGCTTTCTAAAAGCAAAATACAGATTTTTCAAAAAGGGACGTTAAGTATCTTGACATCTGCTGAAAAGTGACCTCCGCCATACATGGTTCTTCTAGGAAATTCCTAGCTTCTCTTGCTGACAACTTTCTCCTTCCAAAAGAGGGAGGGAGGAATATGAGGATCAGCTATCTTCAATTCTACTTTAACACAAAGAAAAGAGAAAGTAAAAGTAAGAGTGTCAGGGCCTTGGATAGGATCGCGCCTATGCGACCTCTCTTGCCACATCAGCCCCGACATTCCCCGTGGTTTACGGAGGAGTTGAGGGTGCTGAAGAGGGTCAAGAAACATCTAGAGCACCGCTGGAGGAAGACAAAGACTGAATCCGACTGAACACAGGTTAGAGCCGCTATCAAGGCCTACATTGTGGCGATAAGAGTGGCAAAGTGTCAATACTTCTCCGCCCTTATCGCGTCCTCAAAGTGCCGCCCGGCAGCCCTGTTTGGGATCACTAGATCCCTCCTTGGTAAGGGGGATCTGGGGATTCATTTGCAGGGCCGTGCGGAGGAATTTTCAGAGCATCTGCAGTATAAAATTGCTCGGATTCATTCCAAGTTAGACTCCGAGCGTGGCGCAGGGTCTGGGGAGATACCAGGGGATCGTTCTTGCCCAGTTATCTGGGAACGGTTTGATCCTGTTGTTCCTGAGGAAGTGGACAGGATCCTTCGGACTGTGAAGGCCACCATTTGTCATCTGGATCCATGCCCCTCCTGGCTGGTGAAAGCAGCTCAGGAGGTGACATGCGGTTGGATTAGTTAATACATCCTTGTGGGAGGGAGTGTTTCCGGCTTATTTTAAGGAGGCGGTGCACCCCCTCCTCGAGAAACCCTCCCAGGATCCTACCATACTGGACAACTTCCATCCAGTCTCCCACCTCCCCTTTTTGGGGAAGGTGGTTGAGAAA